TGGGGGGGGGTGCTTTTTATAACCAGACTTCTTTTGGGGGCCTCTGGGTTGGGTTTTGAGCTTCATCCTTGTTGAGGTGTTTTGTTGCTTTTGGGCAGGCGGAGTCTGGCGAAAATGTGCTTGAAACACGACCGCCCCGAGGCTCGAGCCCGGGCTCCGTGCAGGGCGCCGGTGACCAAGAGGGGCCACACCTGAGAAGAGCGTCCCTGAGCAGTTTTCCCTGGAAGAGCCGGGTTTTTGCTCTTTCTGAACTGTCTTGTTCTGAGGAGGCTGCAGCTGCGCTCAGCTTCCAGGACGCACGGAACATGGTCACTGTCCCGCCCACGATCGAAGACCTGCAAAGGATGCTTGCAGTGTTTTTGGGTGGGGCGCGGTTCTGCCTTCGATGCAGTTGCGTTACCGTAGCTTGGGATCCAGATTTGGAGCTCCGCTCTTGCAAAGTTGGGGAAATGCTGCCCAAGCCACGCGTAGCGGACCTTGGCATCTTCACAGAGAGTCCGCGGTGTGTGGCCAGAGGCTCTTCGGAGCAGACGCTCTGCACACTGGGCTTCTTGGCCAAGTTCTGGAGCTTCAAGATGAAGTCCGCGCCTTACTTCGTCGAGGAAAAGAACCCGGTGCAATGAAAGGAACCCCCACAAAAAGTAGAAGAGAAGGAAAAAGAGGGGAGAGAAGAGAAGGGGGAAGGGCCGAAGACAAAGGGGGACTGCTCCGGCCGAGGAGCAGAGGGCCACGTCGCTCTCCATCGAGGCCACGGAGGCCTTGTTCTGGGAGGCCCCGGAGGCATCGGAGGACACCTTTCAAAAACAAAACAGGGGCTGCTTTCCACTTTCTTCTGCTGCCTTTCTGGCCCTGCCTGCGGCTCCTCCAAGAGCCGGGCGGCGAAGACCTCACAAGCGAAGAAGCCGAAGAGCCGAGGAAAAGCCCTTTGTAGCCCCCCCCCCCCCTCCCGTTTTTCCCCCTATAAGTAGGTCCCTGCTCTCCTCCACGGCCATGGAGGCGCGGAGGCGCTCCGAAGTGCTGTCGAAGCTGATGGTCCTCACACAGCCTGAGACGGGGGCCGCCCCCGCTCTTTGCCCTCTCTCTTCAGCTTCACGCCTGCCAAAGCCCCCAGGCCGAAAAGCAAAAGGCTGCGCGCTGCGGAAGACCGGCCTCGTGGGATCTCGGCTTCAGACAACCAGGGGGCCCCCAGCCCCTCTTCGCCGCTGCCTTCCTCGGCACTCTCGATGGCCTGCTTGAGCTGCGCGCCGGTCCGGAAGTTCACGAAACCTCGACACCGCAGAGTCCCCAAAAAGAGCAGAAAAAACCGCCATGGCCTAAACAGGGGGGGTGCACTTGCGATGGCCAGCGCACCGGCACCCAGCGTGAGCGGTGCCAGCTCCGGCCACCTGGAACTAACTGCCCGTGCTCCCTTGGGCGGAGGGGTGTCTAGCGGTCTCTAATTTTCAGGCGTCGACAGGTGGCGGAGGAGCCAGGCATCCTCTTTGCAGAGCTTCGAACACCGAGTGCGTGCCGAGGCCGCAGGCAAGGCGTGGAAGGAAAGCTGGGAAGCCCACTGCTTCGTGCATCGGCCGATGCTGCGGCCGACGCTCACCGCCACCCACGTGTGTCCATGTGAGCTCAGGCCAGAGTCTTAGGACCAATGTCTTCGGACATTGGGCGGTCATAAAAGTCTATTTTAGTCTATGCTATCTCTCTTTGTGAGACAGGTGGCGAGTTGTGCTGCTCGCCTGTCGCACATGTATGCTACAAGACGCTGCTAACTTGTTAGTGAGAAGTTGCCGTACATGGTGTAGGGAGTCTGCTTTCCCATGCATTTAAGCTCGTCACCACAGAATGTGCTTGGTTTCGCGAGACATGGTCAGCCGAATGGAGATTTGGTTAAGATTTGTATGGTAGACGGTTAAAGTTTAATTTGTGGTCAAGGGTGTAGTTTGCAATTCTGGCAGCACTGGAACAGTAGCTGCTGCAAGCTCACCACGCAACATATGCTTATAACTTAAGTGCCCGCGAGACGAGGCGGAAGCACGTCAACCCACTTCGATCACAGCGTTGCAATCCAGGCCAAGTGACACAAAACCCCTGTCGTCTTCCAGCAATGATGGATTTGCATCCGGTGCAGACACGTGGACTTCTCCTAATGGATCATGCACACAGCTGTCAGGGGTGAGGACGGCAAGGCAACTGGGATCAGGACCAGGACGGATCCAAGGTCCGACAAGATTGCCAAAAATGCTCTGCTTGCAATCCGAGGCCGCGGACGAGTCTCACGAGCCGGCGACACCTTTTCCAGCTCCTTCTCGGTGTGCTCCAGCGAAGCTTTGTCGCTAGCAGAGAACTGGCGGAGTCCCTTAAAACTCCTGGGCTCCCTTCCAAGCACTCGCAGGGTGCCGTTGGGGCCTTACAGCCAGCATGGGGGCCCTGCTAGACTGGATCGCAAGACTAAGCACTGAGAGGTACCCGAGGTACCTGCACAGGTTTCAGATACTGGGCACTCAGAGGAAGTGCTCGTCTTGCTCCGGGCGATTCTCGCAAACCTCGGAAGATCCCCGCCCCCCCTCTTTGTCCGCCTTGGTGTGGAGTGTAGCAGCTCCCAGGAGTTGAAAAGGAGGCTCTTGGGGGTCCTGCCTTCTGGCAATAGAGACCAGGCGGATGCGCTGCGTGACCTGACCGAGCACCGAGCTGCGACAACCGGGTCCGGGCATTTCCGAGCTCCGACGGCCCGGCTCGACCAGGGCGTCACGATCGCCCGGGGACCCCGCACCGCCTACACCCGAAAAGCGCATTGAAAGGGCGAACGAAGCCTTTGCCTTTGCGCTTTCCGAGGGGCCCCGACCCCGAGCCTCCAGAGAAGCCATGAGTGGCTCGGTAATCAAGTTCTTGCCTTGCTCCTCTGCCTCCCAGAAAAGACGGGAGAAAAGAAGGACACTATCAGAGCTTTATAAAACCCCTGTGAGCACCTCCTTGAGAGCCCCGGACAAGGCGTTCTTGAAGGCCCTGCCAGAGACTCAGAGAGAGGGACAAAGAAAAGAGCGGAGAGGTCTCCAATATGTCGGAGAAAAGCTGGGTTTGGGTCTGGGTCTGGCCTGCGAGCCAGCTTCCGGGTGCCTCGCAGCTTGAATGTGAATATATATATATATGTGTAATTAATTAATATATATATATATATATATGTATTACATATTATATATATATATATACATATATGTATATATATATATATGAATATGAGCATATATGCCCCCAGAAATCCCTTTGAGCTCCGGGGCCCAGGCGGAGAGCCTCCAAGTGCGCCTCGTCGGTCTCCCTCGCGGCCTTGAGAAAAATTATGAGCAAAACGGCGCGCCTTTTCGCCTTCTCTTACCGGGGAGAAGAGCAACGAACTAATGATATGGCTCGCAGTATATATCTCCAGGAAGCGAGCACTGGCCACCAGCTTCTGAATGCCCGGAAGCCTACATCGCATGGCATCGCAGAAGTGCATCCAGATTCAGGAGACGCACCTGCTCCGTCTTTTTTCGGCCAAAACGCACGAGGGAATCTGCGAAACCCATTCTTGAGTCCTGCACCCTTCACAGCAGGGTGCTCCCAAAACCGCGGTGTGTTGTGGTGTCGAGAGGTGAAGGCCCCAGCCGTACTATCGGAAAAGCTTCACATTGGAAAATGAGAGTCGCCAAACTGAGGAGTTGTACAGTGCGGGGCGGGCCTGCGAGCCTTCACTGACAGCTTCGTCTCTTTTGTCTTTAAAACTGCTCCTGCCAAGCTCTCCCTTCCTGGGTCCTTGGTCGAGGAGCATAGATAAGAATAAGTGATTTAAATCTGAGAACCACGGTCCGCTGTTCGCAAGGAACGCTTCTTCTGGCCTCCAAACGCCTCCGAGCCAGGAACCCCCCGCCCCCCTAAACCCCTGCCACCCCCATAAACGTCCCCCCCCCACCCTTTATTCGCAATGCGTAAAAAACTGTGACCTTGAGGCCCTAAAGCCTGGGGGATGGGGCCATTTAGGGCTCCTTTTAAGGTTCGCTGGCCGACTTCGAAGAGCTCAAGGGATGGCCGGAACGGCGCTGAAAGCGAAGAGTGGAGAAATCTCCTCCTTCGCCTCTGCGCGGCAAAAAAAATCGCGCGTTTAAGGACCGCTGCACTTGCAATCTTCGGGTGTGCGGACCGCGATGGCTTCGCCGGAAGGTCCGCGAATTCAACTGCTTTTGTGCAGCTTGCAGATTGCAGTCAAAAAGATCAAAATGGAGGGTTCTGCGCTTCTTGTTTACAGCGAGCAGATCAACACCTCGTCATGCACGTCGAAATCTGCAAGGCCTGGTCGGAAAAGCGAGTCAAGCTGGAAGAATGAAAGCTGGGGCAGGCAGGGAAGGCCTCTGCCCAAGTACGCGAAGCCGCCATAGGGGCCTGCGGAGGGCCGCCGATCGGTCAGAAGCCTCGAAGCTTTCGCCTTCTGCCAAGCCACAATCCGGTTCAGCACTGCTGTGGTTGACCAGAGGCCTCAGAGAGCGGAGAGCAGAGACAGCAGAGGCGGCAGAGGCGGCAGACGACGTTGACTTCTGCCGAGGCACGGTAGCCAGGTGTAGTCCGATGCACCCTGCTTCAGCAGCGTCTGAAGGGTAATGGGCTGGAAGCAGCCACCTGCAAGGCACTCCGGCGGGTCTCGGGCTGAGGCCGCTTGGGGTCCGCTCCCATTAACTGAAACAGATCCTGTGTCAGAAGAGGATCAACAAGCCATTGTGGGAATCGCAGGAAACAGTCGGTGTCTTGGACTAGGGGCCGCTTCGTCTAAGTGGTTGCTGCAAACGCAACAGCGGAGTCCTGTTCAGATGTGGCGGAGTCAGAAATACCAAGCGTGAAATCTCAGCGGCGGACGTGCCAGCTGCCGTTCGGCCCATGCATGCGGAACGTGCCTGCAGGGTGAGCGGAAGGGTCGTTCGGGGCAGAAGAACCCAATATTCTCAATTACAAACTACACCGTAGATTACCTTAAACCCAACATTCATCCACATGCATATGGATATTTATAGACTTGGGTCTATAGATATGGATATGCATGTGAATATGATTATAGATATAGAAATCGATACAGATACACATATAGATATACGTATAAGTATAGATATAGACATACGTATACGTACAGGTACATTTTCATACTCAAATACATCTACATCTACATCTACATCCACATCTACATTTACATCTACATCTACATGTACATGTACATGTACATATACATGTACATATGCATACATACACATCATATACATACATTTACATTCGTACACATACATATACATACACATACATACACATACATGCATATGCATATACATAGATATACATACATCTACATACATCTAAATACATCTACATACATCTACATACAT